ATGTGGCTAATTATATAGCAATAGAAACATTGAGATCGAAGTGAGAGAAATTTCACCATGCTAATTACCAAAAAATTAAAAATTAAAAAAAAAATCTTGGACATTCAAAGTTTAAACACACAATCAATTACCCATTAAGCGCCCAAATTGAACTGACCCACAAATAAATATAATTAGAGAAAAAAAATACATTAATATAAACAAAACTCTTCAATTCCACAAATCTAAATCTTTTAACATTTTTAAAGTGAAAGCATAATTGAATTGTAAGAAGAAGTTTCTTCAGTTGAGTCTCAAAACGGTTATTTAAACTTGGGCCTTAATTGATCTTATTTTGAGCCTTAGTCATTCCATTTGTTGTTTTGCTTCTATTGGCTTCCAAGTGAGACTTTAAAACTGATCGGGGTTAGTTGGGCATGTCAATCTTTTTCACTTGTACAATTGCTTAACCGGGATTTTTATTTATTTATTTATTTTCTTCTAAATCATTGATTGTTTTAAATTTATCCTGAGTGTAATCTTAACTAATCAAGTCACTAAATTTCAGTTGGTAAAATTCAACTTAATTCACAGTATATATTTCAAAATTGAATGTAAATTCTACAAGGAGAATAAACGTCCCTAACAATCATCCTATTGAATATTTCCCCTAACTCTATAGAAAATAGGGAGAAGGGCATTTTAGACAACACAAACTTTAAATAGTAAAAATTCATGTGCCATGTCATCTTTTAGGTCAAACACATTTTTTTGAAAATATAGGACTTTGACTTAATGAATGAGTAAATATGGGCCCCTAAGCCCATTTATATGTAAAAATCCCTAATAATTAAAGGATCGAGCAACTATTAAGGAGGACTTTGATTCATTGGTGGAGAATTTTCTTTGGATAGAAGGAGATGGTGAGAAGATGGTATTTGTAGCTAGTAAGTAAAGACATCTTTTGTTTCTATTTGTTCATGGCTTGAGTAATTACCAATGCTAATAGCCAAATATATTATATCTCTGTGTCTTGTTTGATTATCATCAGTCATAGAAAGCCACATTACATGACAAGAAAAGGAATCATCTTTAAAATGCACTCTTTGTTCTGTCTTTTTTTTTTTTTTTTTTTTTTTTTTTTTTTTTTTTTTTGGGGAGGGGGGGGGGGGGGGGGGTTGTGAAATGGAATAAAATCACTTCACAACAGAGAGGCATTCGGCAGTTTAGCATCACATCTCACTCTGTTTAGTAGAAAGAACTGATAATAATCCAATATGATAAATGTAGTCCAAGTCATTTGTTGATGGGTTCTGTTTGGGAACTCAGTTTGCATGTTATAGTTTAAAATAGGCGTCATTTGGTAGTTTGATGCAAAAGTCGGTCATGGCAATGCACATCACATAACAAAGGAGAGGCATCTTCATTTTATATGTTATGGGGTACCCTAAACTAAACTAATTTATCATGCAGGACCAATATATTCTTAATTAACATCATTGATGAAAGGAATTAGTTGTTCCCCACTAAATGTCTCCCTCTGATCTTTGTACCAAAGAACACACACAAATACACAGTTGATGTAATCAGCACTAGCGAAAATGGTTTCTTTTGTTCGGATGATTGAGCTTATAGATGAATGTGTTAGAACCAAATTAAATAGATTGAAATATGTAGAAGCATTTTTAAGTATTAATATGCCTAAAAATAATTAAAAATTCTTAATTCAGGAACTATAGTTCGAACTATATTGAACTATCTATAATGTCTAAAATCTTAATTCAGTGGAGCTATAGTTTGAAGTAATTTTGAATTATCTTTGTGATATAAATTTGATACCAATTGACACATGTAAATTACCTTAAATTGTAAACTTTGAGGGTCAAAGTTTAAGTACACAATCAATTGAGCAAATTACTGAAACTAAAAGTTGCTTAAAACAGGGAGGGGGAGATCCACCCAAAACGGGGGTGTGTGTGTGTGAGAGAGAGAGAGAGAGAGAGACAGAGATAGAGACAAAGTACTTGCCAATTCACAGAAGCACAGCGACCCAAACGAAGGGGAGATCCACCCAAATGAAGTGGAGAAGTGGGGATGCTGCTTCGCTAGGTTACAGAGACGGGGAGAGAGAGGTCGCACAAATAAGGGTTAGGGCTATGCATAAATCGCTGTTAGAGAGAGGGGGAGAGAGAGGGCTCTACACGAATGGGATTATGAGTGAGGGTTAAAGCTGATCGCTGTTACAGAGAGAAAGAGAGGGCTCTGCATGAAAGTGAGGGTGAGGGTTGATCGCTATTACAGAGAGGGTGAGAGAGAGAGGGCTGCACGAATGGGATTATGAGTGTTAGGGCTCCAATAAGGTAAATGTATAAAAATATGGAGAAGGACATTTTAAGAAACACAAAAAATAGGGAGAAGGGCATTTTAGGGAACACAGACTTTAAACAGTAAAAATTCATGTGTCATGTCATCTTATAGGTCAAGCACATGTTTTTGAAAAATATAGGATTTTGACTAAATCAATGATGAAGTATAGGCCCCTAAATCCATTTATATGTAAAAATTTCAACAAAAAAAAAAAAAAAAAAAAAAAAAAAAAAAAAAAAAAAAAATATTAAAGCCAGTCTACCTACTTGATGTTGGGTCCACCTTTATTTTTTATTTTTTTATTTTTTATTTTTAGGAAACAGGAACTCCCCTGGGCAGGGCCCCTTAGGGACCCACCCCAAGTTACAAATCTGTGCCACGTGCACCGGCCCCTCAACACGCGCAGCAGTCAATCGAGCCACGCGCACCGGCCCCTCAACACGCGCAGCAGTCAATCGAGAGGAATAGATGGTTTAGGAAGAGTCGAACACCGGCCATTTCAAACCTACTTCCAAGCTCCAACCATCACAGCTATGCCCAGAGCGGGTCCACCCTCATTTTTCATTTAACTTGAAGCCGGTCTACTTACTTGATCTTGGTGGGTCCACCCTCATTTTTCATTTAACTTTTACACTTAGTTCAATATAGCAACAACAGAGTTACTGAACTAATTTATTTTTAGGTGGCTGTGGGAAAAAAAAGGCAATCGGTCACTTTGAAAAGCAAATCATTGTAAGGTGATTGTGTTGCGCGTGGAAGAGTGTTGCCGATGATTCTAAAGGTCATGGGATCAGGGAACATCAAGTCATAGGGAGTGTATTAATTTGCCTGAGATGGCTAGTTTTGTAAATTTTTCTTGCTCAGTTTTCTGGAAAAGAAAAAGATTGGTGTTGTCATATCTGCTTTACTTCCACTTTATTTGTTTAATTGAGATATACTTCACAACCCACTTCTGCATAGGTGCAATTTAAAAAAAATAAAAAAATAAATTCATTGATTCTTCTCGTGAATAAAAAATCTAAAAAATCATTTAAAGTATTTTGTTTTATTCAATTAAAATTATGCAATTAACATCCATAAATAGATTGAAAATTGTGCTTCCCTTTCTTTCAATTTTGAGTTCTATACACCCTGATGGATCAATTTAATATTTATATCACTAATAAATTGATAATTTATTCTGTTTTCCTCATCAAAGTTATATTCCGTTGGACAAATTAAAAAATGTATTCTTTTCTTGATTTTAATAATTGCTTTCCAATCATCATAACTTAAAGAAAGTTAAGAATTTGATGAGTGGATGGGCCGGGACCCATGCGCATGCATGTGTGATGCGAAAATCACGATGAGCATCTCTCGTCTCATTAGTAAGTATATAAATATTATCTTTTATTTTATTTTATTATATATATATATATATGTATGTATATATATATTTGTATTCATCTCTACAAGACTACAACCTTCCAAAGAAGAAAGGTGAAGTCTGAACACGGTATAAAATATCATATGAGAAGAAACAAAACGCTTTAATTTATTGTTGTTCTAAGGTGAGGTGTGACCGCATTAATTTAGTTGCTCTCATCTTGTAGTTGTTTAATATATATATAACAGTGAAAAAATAAAAAATAAAAACACATAAGAAACAAACAAAAATAAAATAACTATTGTGATGAACACTAATACTATTAGATTCAGAGACTCACAAAAACAAATCATTTGTTTATAAAAAATTATAAAATAAATAGATTTAAAAGTTAAATTCTTTCCCTCTGGTGCCTTTTTCATATTTTATGAATGTGTATTTAATTGAAGAGATTGAGTGTTTGACTCTCTTCAAATGTAGAGATTGAGTGTTCGAATTTCGACGAAGGCATAGTACATATAGTGAAAAAATTATAAACTAGTTGTGTTTGTTTCGATGTAAATTATTTATTTAGGGAATTTTTATTATTATTTTGAGGTAAAATATTTTTATTTATTTATTTATTTTTTTTAGTGTTTGATAAAACTTCAGGTCGAAATTAAGATCGAGCGCATCGGCAGAACATATAATACCAAAATAAACTGAACCTATCTCAAACAAAATAAATCAAAATGAAATAAAATATATATATATATATATATATATATATATATATATGATAAAAAGTAGAAACTCTCATTAGTCATTACAAAGAAACGAAAAATCAAGAAAGAATGAGTATTCAGATGACAGTTTTTTTAGAAGTTTCTTGTTTTTTTAGAAAACTCTTCTTCATTTCCCTAAAATGGTTGGAATTTTACTAGATTTGTTTTGATAGATCCAAACCGAACACACTGTAAAGCTTTACAAAACCGCATTTTAAAAAAGTCAAAATTAGCTCAGCACCGTGTTGTCTCAACTTGCAGCCTTGCAGGACGGCGTTTTTGGAGATCCAAATCAAAATAAATAATTAAATAATATATATATATATATATATATATGTATATATGTATGTATATTTTATTGATGATGGAGTAGTTTTGAAACTTTTGATTGAATGTGGAGATTCAAATTGCCATGTGGTATCCCATACCGACATCCATTTTCCTAATGCTCTCTCCCACGTGCTCTCCATCATTCTCTATTCACCACCACCACCACCACCAACTGTGTGTATATGTGTGTGTGTGTGACAGAAGATAGAGATAGTTCTTCACTTCCCACTCTCACTTTAAGATCTCCTACTTATCTCTCTATCTACTATACACATATATATATATACACACACACACACAACCACATCTATATATATACTTATTCATTCATGCATATATATATATTTAAGTCCCTATACATACAACAATAAGTAGTAAACTGAAGAACAAAACAAGCGAATAATAAAAATGGACAAGTACGAGATGGTGAAGGATATAGGATCCGGCAACTTTGGTGTGGCGAGGCTTATGAGGCACAAAGAAACCCAAGACCTTGTTGCCATGAAATACATTGAAAGAGGACATAAGGTAATTTACTTTCTTTCTTACTTTCTTTTTCTTTATTTATAAATATATAATGTAATTAGGTTAGTCTAATTAATCTTAATTTCTAATTAATATGGAATTAATTGATTTAATTTCTTGCTGGTTGTTTGTAGATTGACGAAAACGTGGCCAGAGAGATTATAAATCACAGATCCCTTTGTCATCCGAATATAATTCGGTTTAAGGAGGTGACTATATTATTATATATTTCTCAAAATTAATTTACTTTTAATGGCTATTCTGTTCTGTTGTGTTTTTTCTTCTTTATATATATACACACACACACGTATAGTATAATTTTGTTCTAATTAGTTGGACATTGAAATTGTTTAGGTGGTGTTGACACCCACCCATCTAGCAATTGTAATGGAGTATGCAGCTGGCGGGGAGCTTTTTGACCGTATCTGCACAGCCGGAAGATTCAGTGAAGATGAGGTCCTCTCCTCTTTCTATGTTCTTATAATTTTATTTACCATTATTAACATAAAAATAAAAAATAAAAATTCTTAGTATTAATAAATTTTTGGATTGAAGAGACTTTTCAGCCCCTCAAATAGATACATATATATGTGTGATTATATATGAAGAAAAAGAGAGAGATCTCTTAATAGAACTGCAACCTATTCCAAAGGATTAATTTTAGATTGAGGTATTGAGGTAGAGATCGAGAGGAAGATTAAGGTTGTGAGATTGCCTAGTTATGCGTTATGTGCACTACCTAAGCTTAATGAGTATATGGATATACGAAGTGTTTTATCTGTATATCAAATCACTTGTGGAGAAATTATTTGAAGAAATTTTGACAGTGAGATTAGACTGTGATACAAATCATACAATGAATGTATCCGTACATACACATAGCTGGAGCCAGAAATTTAGTTTGGGGATATTAGCATATGATAAAATAAAGTTTTAGTAAAAAGAAAATGTTTAAAGTGCAAAAAAAAAAAAAAAAAAAATTGTTCAAGAAACATTCTTACCATTTAGTATGTGCATATAATTCCTATAATTTGAAAATTTGTAGCAAATTGGCCCCTTATCGTCAATTTTGATCAATTTCTTTTCTTTCCTTCTTTTTTTTTTAAAAAAAAAAAAAAAAAATTCCTCAAAATACCCTTAATAAAATTTGTGCATATAGGTTTGTTTTATTTTTTTGTATCTTTTTTTTTTAAACTAGGGGGGTTTTTGCACATCCGGTATATAAAAGTGGTTTTTGTACTTTACCTAAAGAAAAAATATATATATGAGAGATTTATAAAGGAAAAAAGTTTTTGAGTTTATTTCAAGAAAGAAAATGCAATTTTTTTAAGAGAAATTGAAATGATGATGAAGAGGAATCAGGGAAGTCTGGGCAGAAAAGAATTAGAGGGATTTTTTGAAAATATATATATATATATATGTTGTGAAATTATAAACATTACCAATTAGGTAATGAGCTAGAGTCCCTCTATTTGGGTCAAGGTTCAAACATCAGCAAAGACATTTGTGTGTTAAAATCAATTAAGAAAAAAAATATATAAACATTAAACATAAAAAAATTTAATAAGCTAGCATGGGCCCAGGGCATGCCCCTCTAGGCCCATGGTGGCGTCAATGCATATACATTAATATATGTGTATATACTGACAAATATAAATGTAAAATTATAAATTTGAAAAAGAAAGCTGCAACTAACCTATTTTTGGGTGCATTGAATTGTTAATGAAAATAGAAAAAATAAAAATAAAAAATAAAATAAAAATTGCACGTCATGTCTAGTGCACATCTATGAAGCATGTACATAGATATGGAATACAAAGATAGTAAGACATAGACACAAGTACAACGTCAATATAATAGTATTATAAAATTTATTTTATTTTAAAATTTTATACTAAGAGTAACTCTAAAATAATTTAGAAAATAAAATTATGCATTATTGTAATGATTTTTATATCATAATTGTCATGATAGTATTTTTGTTTTAAAGAGACAAACATTATTTTGTACTTCACTTATGATCATATATATAATCTAATTTTTTTTAAAGAAAAAAAATTGAACACTTTAAAATGTGTTTATATTATTTTAAAAATTACTACTTGTGTTAGAAATATATGAGTGTGAAGAAGTGTTGGTTAAGTCTAAAATAATCAAATTTAATTTTTAATACTAATGGACACGTATTAAGCGTGTGTTCAAAAAATATCGATATTTAATACGAATACGACGCAGGCATAACTTCTTCGCAAAGCATCCATACTTCCCAAGTGCACATCATACCATATTTGTATCACTCCTATTTCATATATGTGCCTTTAGTGCATGATTGTATCACTTTTGGGTTCCACAAATTTAATACTTTTGGTGCATGGATGGATGAATAATAACTTTACATTTTGTACAAACTCAAGCAAAAGTGACTTAAATCCTATTTTTTTGCGCCCGGGACTGCTAGGGTGGGGTCCTCCAATCAGAACACCTTAAAAGAAAATGCAAATAAAAGAAAATGTAAAAATGAACTACTTTTTGTACATTGACATACCACACTTTGTGCGTTAAAAAAACAAATGAACTGTTATTGTGGATAAATTGGTAAATTAGCATTGGAAGTGGAATAAAATTTGTCGTTATGTTAGCACTTTTGGTAAATAGTGGCGTAAACCTGTTTGCTTGTAATCTTTACCTCCCTTATTTATTTATTTTTGGTAAGTTACTTCATTTTTTTTTGGGTGCTGTGAGTTATTTTTGGTAAGTTTCTTTATTCTTCTCCAAACATCCATTAATTTCCACTATTTTGGGACAAATTCTCACACATTCTCACATACATGTGTTGTTTCTTTCAATCTTTTCAGGCCAGATATTTCTTCCAGCAGTTGATTTCCGGTGTCAATTTTTGCCATGCTATGGTATGGTAAAATGAAATACATAATGAATGGCTTAAATCTCTATTTTGCTCTCTTTAAATGCCTAAATATTATCTATTTTTAATAAGATTAGTAAATTTCACATGGTGAAATAATAGCTGATGAATAATGAGACTTTTTTTTTTTTTTTTGTATATCAACATTTTATATTAAAATGTCCTCAAATGACTTATTCAACATTAAATAAACATGTAAACTCAGCCATTATACTATATTGAACTATTTTTTCTTTTTATTTTTCTCTCGATGTTATTTCTCGTGTAGAAAAATAATAAAATACAATTATAAATATTTGTATACAAATTATTACGAATACATGATGTTATGGATTCATATTTACTATTTGATGGAGTCAAAGTCATATGTTTCGAAAAAATGACTTTGATTAAAATGCTGACGTGAATATTAAGAAATACGATTCATTACACCCGTTAAGGAGTTGTTTGCACCCAAAAGGATTCAAATTTTAAACTTAATACTTCATGAGGCACAATGACCAAATTCTTATATATTTAAACTAACCCCTTGGGGTTCATGTAAGCAAGTACTACTTTTGTTCACAAATATACTACTTTTATGCATATAAACACCATTATTTGTGTTTTTTTTTTTTTGTGTTCCTTTTTTGCTTCAAGGCGAGCAATATAGGAGCTATTATTGAAAATGAAACTCAAGAGTCACATTCAATATTAACAATCCCTTCCACTAGTGTTTTGCAAAAAAAATCCCACTGAACAGCCCCCGTTTGAGAGCTTTTTGGGCCGCTAACACCTCAACCACAAGAGTTGAGCATTCCATTTCATTATGTAACACTTTTTATGTACACATACATGGTCTATACAAAAACAAAAACAAAATGGTATCTCCGTTGTATAAAAAATGGTACCTAAAAGTAGTACGATAGTTTAGATAATGAAAAGTGTTTTTTCATATCTATGTTAGTATTTTGGTCAATTTTATTTTTTCAGTAGATAATGACTTTGACTCTATGAAATGGTAAATATGGGTCCAAGAGTCCATCTATATATAATAATATCTATTTGTATTTATATATATTGACACAATATAAGTGGTCCTCCTAATTTTTTTATTCCCTGAATAGACCCGTAGCTCAGAATCCACCACCATGTATATTGTTACTAAAATAGCATAAAACTACCTTTCAAAAAAAAAAAAAAAAAAAAATCACAACCTATGCAAATATTAGAAAAAGGGACTAAAACTATAAATTGTTTTTTTTTTTTTTTTTTTTTTTTTGACAAGTTGGGACGCACCCACATTGCCTCTATTGAGGTTCGAACCCCTGACCACCCTTTGGGAAGTAGAAGCCTTGTACCGCTAGATCACAGATCTGTTGGTGACTAAAACTATATTTTAACTAAAAGACTCAATATATCAAAGATTTATTTGTATATTGAGAGGATACATAAGGTTGAAAATTCCATAGATACATAGGATTGTGATGGTCGGGACTTGGGAATGGTAAGGGTGCAACAGTTGGGAATTGTAACTTCAATGTTAAATAAACTTCTTCTATTAAAAATTAAATAAAAAATCATAAAAATGTATAGAAATAATCAAAATCCTATACACTCTTAACAATTTTTTTTTTTTTTTTTTTGTAAAAGTATTTCCATTTTAGCTCTCTCTATATATTTTTTGATAGTTTGTGATTAAAATCTTTTATTTTATATGTTTTAGTATTAGTACCAAAATCCTAATTTCATGAAACCACCTAAACTATCAATTTTGGTCATGTAACTCCTTAAACTATCTATGGGGAGGAATTTAAAGTTTTAAAATGATTGAGAATGGGGTGTGTTTTTTTTTCTTTTTTTTTTTTTTTTTTTTTGTCTCACTTACCTTTCAAAAAAATAAATAATTAAAAAAATTGAGTGGTTTAAAATTTAAACGTGAAATTAAAAAAAAAAAAATTATTAAATTTATTAAAATATGATAGGACTTATCGGTAAAAATAAACTAGTAATTTTAGTTTCACTTCTTTTGCAGCAAATATGCCATAGAGATTTAAAGCTGGAAAATACGCTGTTAGATGGAAGCCCTGCACCACGCCTTAAAATTTGTGATTTTGGTTACTCAAAGGTAAGGTTTTTTATTTTCTCTCTCTATATATAAACATACGTGTGTGTGTGTGTGTGTGTGTGTGTGTAAGGTGAATGGTTACTGATTTATTGAGATATTATTGTTTCACTATTTGCAGTCGTCTCTGCTGCATTCCAGACCTAAATCCACGGTTGGAACTCCCGCCTATATAGCTCCAGAGGTCCTTTCTCGTCGAGAATATGACGGCAAGGTATTTCAAACTAATGTTGCCAATTGGTCGTCTCAAATTAGAATCGAAAGAAATTCAGTTTAAAATTTAATTTAATTTTTTTTTTTCAGTTTGGTGTCATTGTCCCAAAAAAATAATAAAAAAATGTTAAATAAAAAATATGGTCTATGTGCTCATGTAGGTTACAAGTTGATTTGTTGCCCATTTAAAGGTTTGCTTGTTCGTATTTGAAGTCTGGACACCGTGGTACTTGGTAACATGTAACGCCAAAATTTGTTAGGACTTGTTCATTTTTGAAAGGGTTGTTTTTAATGAGATGAAGTCACCTTGGTTTGGATAGCTTGAAATTGGGTGAGCTTCACCTTAATCAGGAATTCAGAGGCGGCTCAATATAATTTGAGACTTTAAAGAAAAAAATATAAAATGGTCTTTTAATAGAGTCTACCCATATGTTTATACTACTAATATGCTTATTATTTGTTTTGTGATTTTTAAATTCATTATTTGATTTGTGATTTTTAAGTTTAGTATTAAATTTTTTTCAATCGCTAGTTGTATAGTTAGTTAATTGACTATGTACTTTCTAAAATACATATTCATCTATAAATAAAAATGATGACAACTCACAAACAAAATAAATAATTTTATGATAACAAAATTTAATAAAACTATAAATTAATTGAAGTTATAGATTGAAACTGATTTCGAAGAATTTGGTTCAATACTTCAAAATTTTTTTTTTAATAGAATAAAAATTCATTCAAAGTTTTGTGACGGAGTGAGGTTGTAAATTGTAGGAATGAAGAAGATGAATATATATATATTAATGAGAGGAGAAAAAAAAAAAAGAAAAAAAGAAAAAAGAAACGAAAAAGAGTTAATAGGTGTCTTAAAAAAAATATAAAAAGTTTCACAAGTTTCACCACAATGGATAATATTTATGGTTGGTGTAATAATATTTATGGTTAGTGTAATGATAACAAGGAGTAATATATATGTATATGTATGTGTATATCCTCGTGTAATAAGGATGAGAGAGAGGGAAAAAAAAAAATGTAATAGAAATATAGAAATATTTTGGGCCCAATATTAAAATTTTCTATTGATTGAGGTTTAATGATAGAAGAAAATAAAATTTTTAGGTAGCTTATAATATATAAGGAAAAAATTAGGGGTCCGGAAAAAAAAAAAAGAAGAAAGTGATAAACAATAGAAATCTTTTAGGTCAATATCAAATCCCTCTATTTGTTGATGTTTAATAAGTAACATAATTATTTTTAAAAAGTTATAACATATAAAAAAAAATAAAAATTTATATGGCCTTTTTATTAGCCGGGACCTTAGGCAACTCACCTAACACCCAAGCCGTCCTGATCTGGATTAGTTGTTTTATTGTCGTTACTCTAGTACTAACATTATCATTCCATTCATGTTAAATGACATGGTAAATTGCAAATTCTATTTTAATGGCCTTTTCCTCGGTCTGTTTGTTTATCTCGTGAATTTAAAGGGTTAAATTCTACTATCATTTTTCGTCACTTTACTCCCTGTGCCATAAAAGTGATCGAATCACTCTCTTTCCGTTAGTTCTCAGTTAAAGTAAATGGTAATTTCTTGTGGGCGTCGTGTGCTCTTCATTTTGGTTCTCGAATGACTAAAATGCCCTTTATCAAGCTGCTGCAAATTAAAAGACAACGTACCTATTCATGCCCAACATCTATTAAATATTAAAACTATCTAAATACATTACATTAATATATTAGTAATTATATAATAAATAAATTTTTATAAAGTAACATACCTATATAAAAAAAATAACATATTTGAGATTTTAATTATATAGTATAAGAATATTTATAATATATTATACAATACATATATAATATAAACTATATAATGTGAAAGTGTAGTCTAATAATTGTGTATAGTGTGTATTATATATAGTGTTTTTATTTTATTGAATAATATGATGTATATTTATGGCCCCATTCATATAAGAAATAGGCAACGATCATGAAAATTACAATATAATGTATATAAAATTAACTTTGTTAATATGTATAATATAATTTTATAAATAATATAGGACATTGCAAACTATATAATCTATTATATTAAAAATAAACAATAATTTATGCTATTTTGATAAAAATAAACTATGTAAATACAAAATCATATTTAACACAACGGGTGATTGGATAGTACTGGGGGTAAAGTGTCAAAAAATCAAAGTATAGGATTTTCTTATGTATTTTACCCTTAAAACTGTTTAAATAAAAAAATGATAGTACATGGGAATTTTGTGAGTTTTAATCCTTCACTAAATGTTCTGGATTCTTTTATCAATAAAAGAGAGCTAATTTACATCACTCAATACTATTTTGTTACATTAAAACCTATTAGTTCTAGTAGAAGTTTGCTGCTCATACATATTGTTTCAAGTATGAGTCTGTTTCTTGAACTATATATATATATATATATCTATTCTTCTTTCCCTCACCTTTCCAGTTCACTTAACACATTAACATAATGCTCCAGCTTCTTAATTACAATTCTTGATACAGATAATAAATTTAAATTAGTTCTTGGTTTGAAATGTGTATGATTTCTTGTTTGTGTTTAGTTGGCTGATGTATGGTCATGTGGAGTGACCCTCTATGTAATGTTGGTGGGAGCATACCCTTTTGAAGACCCCGATGACCCCAAGAATTTCAGAAAGACAATTGGAGTAAGTTTGCCTCTCCGGTTTGAATTGGTTGTCCAAATATTTATGTGACTCCTAATTTTCATGACAATTTATGTTTTGTATTATTATGTTTCTGCAGCGAATAATGGCTGTTCAGTACAAAATCCCCGACTATGTTTACATATCTCAAGATTGCAGACACCTGCTTTCTCGCATATTTGTTGCACATCCTTCCAGGGTATGTGTCAGTTTGAAAAATAAGCTTGCTTAAAATGTTATAACCTGATTATATTATGAAAAACTGCAAGACTTGTTCGTAAATTATGGATACTTACGCTTCAACGCGCCATTATGGTGCTAAAAATGTGTTACACTAGGTAAAGGTCCCGGAGACACCCTTTTGGCCTTCAATCCCTGTTTTCAGATTCTTTGTAGTTCTTAAAGCATTAATGTAGCATGCAGAGCTTTTCTAGTTGTGAAGTGTACGTTGTTTGCATAAAATGGTGTCATAATCTGTCTATTGACTCGGGACAATTTAGTTAATTTGCTAAATGCAAACTGTTATTCTCTTTTGCGTCGTGCCCTTCTTTAGTAGTGCTTGGAATTTACTTCACTTGGGGCGACCATGAATAATAATAAGCTAATTTTTGAACTGCAATATTGATTTATAATATTTTCATTCAGTACATTTATGATTGTCCTCAATGAATTTTCATCTCTTGAAAGCATTTTATATTATTAATACTTTTACATGATTTTTTCAAACATTTTATTAATGTTAACGAAATTCTGCTCTCTTTTTTTCACAAAATTAAAAATCTTATTTTGCAGAAAGAACAACGGTGCCTCAAAAAGGGGATTATAGTTCCTTGCAATTGGCTTAGAGTCGAGAAATTTACTAGAAAAAGATTTTTATAATCCCTATACCTCTCGTTCTTTTGCTCTGGAGAGTGATTGAGAGAGTAATATAGATGATCAGAAGTTGAATATATTGAAGCGTCTCTACTATAGATGAAACAACTGAGCATATGTTAAAACATAATAACTAATCTTCAACTTTTGGGAGGTGGAGTGGCCAAGAAGATGGGCTAAATTATGTAGTGGTTATTGTTTCTACAATAAAACAATTAATTCAATTCCTCCAAGATAAGGGGGAAAAAAACAAAAAGACTAAGAATTCACAGAAAACAAACACCTTACAAGCTTGAGAAACCAATAGATCCTTAAGTACACAAAATAATAGAAACCTCCAATTAATCATGGAACAGACACTTAAAAAGCACTTCATCCTGATAAATTTGCTGAACCTTCATACTGAGAGATGACTGTTGTTCCCTCAAAACCATTTTGTTGTCGTTTAACTACATTAAAAGATGGAGCTTCATGCTAAGCAGGGCATAACTACATGGAGATATTAGGCCCCTCAAAGTTTTGGACAAAAGGTTCTCAGAAATTAGAGAAGAGGCTTAATTCTTAAGTCATATTAGAATGCTATGTAAAATAACATGTCTTGGAACAGATTCTAGTGTATTTATTCAAGATGAACTTATTGAAGGTGTAACAACTGAAACGATACCAAGTGGGCTGCATGCCTCCGGTTTTGTTGATTCAAAAGATTAGCAGAATCACAGCCTGAATTTTGTTCTCCAAGTCCAAGTGATAGAGTTAATTATTATTGCAACTACTAAAAAACCACTACTTATTTCAGGGTCTGGGGTAACGGAATCTGCAGACTACCAAGGGACGCTCATAATAAATTTTAGGTTTCTATTTTATCATCAATCCAATCCCCATTCATGTTTTTTGTTTTTGTTTTCAAGTCATCAAACCAAATAAGAAGAATACAATGCTGTCTGACCACTTGATGATTATGTGTGAGTACACTACTGACTGACAAGAAATTGGATAAAAATTCTACAGTTGCGAAAAATGATGTAGATGGCGAAGGAGAGGTGGAGTAGTAAGAATGCTTGACCTTTCCTAAAACCTCTTATCAGTGATCCATCATCAAGTTTAGCAGACAGAGAGAGAGAGAGAGAGAGAGAGAGAGAGAGAGAGGTGGGGGGCAGAGGGAAAGAGAGAGAGGTCTTAGTAACAACTGATTTTGAAACTACGTTTATTGAACTTCCTCCGTCACTAATGATTTTATAGACCTTTTCTTCACATTTGAGAAAGTGTTGATGGAAAGCACATTACTTCTTCATTGCAGGTTTTATCTTCCATCTGATTTTCCATAGGGTCAAGGAATCGTCTAGTCTCATATAGGTCATCTAAATACGCAGGTAGAAATCTGCGTACGTTGTTGGACAACTAAAGGTCTCCTAGCAGGATTTTGAATTCAACTCTTCCTAAAGTAAATTTGTCTCATGTGAAGGTCGGTACTCGGTAGATGATCTTGTACTTGTGAAATGTCACAGTCGTGAATGGTGGTATGTGGCTCGACATGATAATGGTGGTGATTGTTTTTAATGTCTTGTCTGTGTCTTGGGAATAGATTGTCACCCCTGATATACTCAAAAGGGCATCTTTTTCACAAATGTAGTATAACTTTCTTTATTTTAGTATAGATTGTAGAGAGAATAGGTTAAGGACAATAATGGCGATCTCTAGGGGATGGTACAGGCATAAGAAAATGTCATTGGATTAACCAACTTGGTACAAGGTCCTTGACTCTTCTCCATATGAGATTTGATAGATCGATATTCCAAATTGAAGATCATGTCAAAGTCAACGAAGTCTTTTCAAGATTGAAACAATTAAGTTCAAAGACTCGTGCAATAATTCTAGAGACCAATTCAAATGATATGAATTAAATACATGGTCCTAGTTTTATAACTTAAGAGTTGAGTTCTTTCAAAGGTTATGTAAACTTGAACCAACTCATCCTTACAAGGGTGTCATGATGTTATGAGTGAAGTTCATGGCCTATAGCTAATAGTTGATGGATTGATGATTGATATGAACCAACCGTGTCATGGAACTTCATTTGAAAAATGAAACTCTTCTTGAATCATTATGGAATCTATTTTCTGTTTTAGAAAGAATTGCTAAGAAGCACATACACTTTTATGAAGTGTCGTGTCTATGTTCGACACCTTGTTGAACACGGACACTTCTTGGACACCCCCAAACACATCTTTAACACTTCCTAGCCGTGTCCATAATTTAAATATAATTTTTATTGTTTCAGACACTTGACCGACACATCTTGGATACTACTTGGTCAACACATTCCATACACTTAGACCAACAAATCCCACACTCTGTCTTTATAAAGCAAACACATGACAGTCTTAGAAACAACATTATGCACATATATTATAGTGTCCAACCTCCTTTTCCATAAAATTGATGTTAAACACATGTTTAAAAAAATAATAATAATAAAATAAAATAAAATTGACAAGATAGAATCTTAATATTATAGTATATTTTATTCTTTTTGATATTCTAATAATTTCAATATCTAACTTATGTAACTTTAGTATAGAAATTATAAATTAATTAATGTTATATCATTGTCTTATTCAATAGATATACAAATGAAAATTGTATTTATATTAGCCATATCCACGTCGAGCCTGTATCTTACGTTTTTTAAAATTTAACGTTTCGGCATATCTATGTTGGATTGCGATTGTAATGTGTCGGCGTATCCGTGTTGTCCTGCGATTGTAGCATCTTGATACATAGAAAAAATTAAGAAAAAAAAATAAATATATGCATACTCATATTGCGATTGTAGCTTCTTGATAACATCTACATATACGGGCTTATGACTGCACCTCTCGCCTAATATTTTACCACAGATTCTCTTGTTTCTATTGACTCATTGAGGACAACGAATTTGTCAGAATAAATTTTTTTGATCTAACTATTGAGCATTTTGTATTGCACTATAACGCAATTGTGGAACTCGATCATGTGCAGAGGCTCACAATCAAAGAAATCAAGAACCACCCATGGTTCTTAAAGAACTTGCCAAGGGAACTTGCTGAGACTGCTCAAGCCATGTATTACCAGCGAAATAACCCAAGCTTTTCCCTTCAGAGTGTTGACGAGATAATGAAAATTGTGGGAGAGGCAAGAAACCCACCTCCATCATCTAGACCCGTGGGGGGTTTTGGCTGGGGAGCGGACGAGGATGACAACGAAGATGCAGAAGTGGAGGATGAAGAAGTAGAGGTTGAAGACGATGATGAAGACGTCTATGATAAGACAGTCAAGACGGTCCATGCAAGTGGGGAATTTCATATCAGGTGAGCAGCATCATCTTTGTTTTTGTTATCAGATACTTGAAATATTAACTTGGTGGCATTAGGATTTTTCGTATTTGTTTGTATAATAGGAATAAATACTTCATCATAATCGGGGATTATTCGATTGTGGACTTAATTGACTCTGTGAGATTAGTGTATAAACTTTTGTGGTACTGGGCATGTAATCTAATAATCTATCATATATTGTACTATAGACGGAAATGTTGATGCATGTTGATGAAAGGACATTTTGTATCGTGGTCTTTCAACAGGTGAGAAGTCAAATTAAGCCAATATAGATACCCACCAGTACTTTAGATTTTTGTGTGTGCGCAGTGACGGAGTGAGAAAAAAATTTCAGGGCGCATTATAAGTATAATACACGGAAACATATATTTATAATATAATGTATATGCATATAAGTATATATATATATAGAGAGAGAGAGAGAAAGAGAAAAAGAGATAATGATATTTTTGAAATTAAATTAATTTACAGATATAGAATATAAATTAAGGAAACAATTTAGGAGAAAAAAAATATAAAACGTGTATAGAATTTTATGACGAATGAGAAATTTCAAGGGCCACTTTCCATATTTTTATTAAAAAAATACATATATTATTATAAAATAAATATAGAATATAAGAGGGAGAAAATTCAGGGGAGTATGTGTCCCCTGTCCTTAACTGCTTCCATCCCTGTGCGTGTAGTGGGCAATAATATATTGCAGCAATGCAGTTTATTTTGTATTTGGAAGCATCGAAACCTTATTTAGATTCTTCATTAGCATTCTTCGAGTTCTCAGATTGCTGGCTATAATCTCGTGACTCCATGTCCTAAGATTTCAGTGCCAATGCACTGTCACAATTTTTTTCTGAGATTTGCCAGTTTCAGGACAAACTCGTTTCTTTGGTTGTAGATTTAAAACAATAGTTGTTTGTTATGTCATTTCTAATTGTTTTCTTATAGAAGAAAATTGGCAGATAAGTTGAGAGTTATATTAAGTATGAATAAAATTTTGAGAATCTTATTAAAAAAAATTCTAAGATTTTTTTAACAATTATATCATGATATTATGCTCTCTCTTAATGGGCGGTGGTGATCTTGCTTCTTAAAGTATTCCATAGTCGGCCATTGAACACTTGTCAACCCCACATTACCATAAACGTCCTTAAGAACACTAGTCGTCCCTCAGCCCCACATTATCATACACTTCCCTAAGAGTGCCCCCGAGGGGATCCGAGCTTTTAATCTCCGAGATGGAAGGGGAGAAGCCTTACCATGAAGTTATTCCCTTGGAGTTTACCATGATATTATACTTGAAAACATTATTGTAACGATCCAGATTTTATTCAACCCGGTGCGTCAATGGTGACCCGAAAGTTGACCCGGTAACGGATCCAGATGCAGAAGCAAGAAACAAGAAAATGGTCTTTCAAGGCACAACACACCTCTAAGACCCAAAGATGACCTTTCATGAGGTCACGGAACTCAAAGAAAACTGACGCGGAAGTAAAAGATTGGAAATATGACAAATAAGCTCCTAGGGGCAAAATAGTCATTTATGAAAACTGTGAATTCGGGTGCCACTGAACACACCACTGGAAAGACAACAAAAAAATAATCAAGATGGACTTAAGAATCGCATGATTCGGAATCCAAACGAAGGAGAAATGGCATGACGAAGAAAAACGAGCACTTAAGGCTAAAAGGGTAAACTGGTAATTATCCAGGAATGTATGGGTGCAACCGAGCACACTGTTGGAAAGACAACGAAAAATTAGTCAAGTTCAAAAAAAGTTCACTCGGTTTAGAGTCCAGACGAGGGAGAAACGAGGGTTTGAAGTTGAGACACCGCGGCGGCCCGACGAAGGCCATGGCACACACGGCGCCCATGCATGAGCCCACCGGCGCCCATTCCGGCGCCCAATGGCATGCACAAGCTGACAGCAAGAAAAAAAAAAAAAAAAAAAAAAAGTAAGGTTCCAGAACTGAGGCTTGAAACGGAGGCCAAAACGAGTTTTTCTAGAAAAACACGAAGAAGAAACCCCCCTAAAATCGAGTCTTCTACCCGACCTTACAAACTGAATCGAAAAAAACTCACTGTGAAATCCCCAAAATGCCCTTAGATTAGAACTGGACAAGAGGGCAATTAGCTGTTACAGGATCTGTCTACATCTGAGATAAAAAAACGGGTAAGAAGATAAATTTTTCTAGAAAAACACAAAGAAGAAACCCCCCTCAAAATTGACTTTTCTACATAAATAGTAAGAGAATTCAGAAAAAACACAATGTAAAATGCCCGAAATGCCCCTCCATGAAATCTGGTCATGGAGGTCTAAAAAGCTGCTAAATAAAAAAAAACAGAAAGCTGAACTTTGCGATGGATTTTCGATACCAAGACGATATTTTCTGGAAAAACATGAAAAAGAAACCCCCCCCTAAAATCACGTTTTCTAAATGACCATATCGAAAGAAGAAAATAAAACTGACGTGAAAGGTCTAGAATGCCCCTAGATCAGATTATGCAACAAAAGTGCAAAATGAATCCTTATGAGGCTCAAATTGCCAAGGAAGAGGTTTTTCTTGAAAATGATCATGCACGCAAACGTAACTTACCTATTTGGACACGCTACAATGCTCCATGGCTTAAAAATACCACCGATGCAAAATCCGACCTCCCAACGGCCAAAAAGACAAAAATGGACTTGAAATGAAAAACATGAAAACCAAAATTAGGAAATAGTTTCAAATGACCGTTTGGCCCTTAGCCACACTTGATACAAGATTAATGAGACCTAGTAGAGATGCTGGAACACACTTTACACCACCCGATTTGAAAATGAACCCTTAAAGGCTCGGTTTCTGCTGTTTAGCCCAAAAATGCAATATGTGAACTAAAATGCAAAAATGAACACTAAATGGTGTTTGGCCCTTGGCCACACATCACATATGGCAAATGAATGCTAAAGGATGAATTACATACATAATGCACACACCGGTGCGAAAATGACATATTGAAACCCAAGTTTTCATGCTTTTCTCATTAAAGGCAAAATTCTACATTTTTCAATATATATGGATTACAAATGAAGTTTGGCCCTTGGCTACATATCATATACATAGAATGAATACCAAAAAGTGTGCTTAAGCACATAATACAAGTTTGGAATCAAATATACACATTTGACAAAATGGCTACAAATGGCATTTCAAGTCGACCTTTACAAGAATTGAAATCTTCAAGTTTACAAATCATCCAAGCATGATAAGAATCACGAACCAAGTCTTTGTACCTGATCAAATCCCCCAGTAACTTCGGGGTGAGTAAACAAGACTAACAAGTTTACTCGTAGAGAATGAGCATGTATCGACTCGATTTCTTTAGAGATTTTTAGGACTAACATGATATAGTTCAAAAGGGATCGTGCTACCTAACGTCTATGTCAAAGATTAGACTTAGGGATCATCCTAAGCTACCATAGAGTATAAGCAACAAGAATCATGATATATATACATATATAAAACAAGTCAGAGTTAGGATAATCCAATAACATGATAAGAAGGATGCTAGAATACAAGGATCACATTATCAAATGCAATTAACATGATTGGGAGTGATACATGAAATCAAGAACAAGGCATAATATCTATACAATTAACAAGATTAGAGCATTCCAATTAACACGATAGAAGTAATACAAGAAATCAATGACAAGGCATAGTATCTATGCAACTAAACAAGGATGGAACATTCCATGAAACACGAAAAGAGTTATATCAAGAGTAAGGCATAATATCTATGCATTTAAACAAGGATAAAATCTTTCATACAACACGAAAAGAGTCTTAAATCTTCAAGGAATACAGCACTTAAAATTTAAGGAGTTAAATCACGAATGAAGCATAAAATCTATGCAATGAAACAAGATTGGAGCATTTCACATTCACGACAAGTTTAAATCTTCAAGGAATAACAACTTGAAATTTAAAGTGTGAAATCAACCTATGTGGAAACTCAAATATCGCCCGGATTAAAACTGTACTCTTGAGATCACTTTATGACTACTAACCCATGGGTACCTTTCCTTAGTGCGCACTATAGTTTAGAGGAACAATCCCCCGTACTAAAACCAAGTCCTAGCCATGTCAATTCTTGATTGATATCCCAAGTTCCAAAATCAACAAGTTGTGTAAGTCAAGATTGTATCAAAATACAAGAAATGCATTAACCACATATCATACATAACCAAGATTTTGGAACACACAAGTCATTCCCTAAGTTTTCAACTATGATGGCATGTGAAATATCAAGAAATCAAAGTGTGCATTTATATAGACCACAACCAAGATAAATAGCACATGGAATCCATCGAAGCAAATATACCACAAGTATAAGGTACTTGATATCAGTTGCATACTAAACAACACATGTGTACATAAACCATTCCAAGACAAATGAACATGTTCATTAAACACATTAATGAAACCAAGATACAAAAAGTCTAGATACGTGATATCAAGGCATGATTAACTCGAGGGAGACATAAAAGGAAATTTAATCTACTTAAGGGATTAAATTATCAAGGTTACATGACAAGTCCAAATGTTCTACGAACAAGGCATGTCAAGGATCATGTCAAGGCCAAGTTCAATGTCAAGTTTCAAGTTCATTTCATACACGACACAACCATGTGAGTTAAGTTCCATACAAAGGAAATGAATAAATATAAGTTTCAAAACTTATCCGATTATGCTCAATGTAATACACGTGAAGGAACTTATCAAGGAAATCATAAATACAAGGTTAGAAACTTAATCAAGTGCATAAAACCATTGAATGGATTTTAATTATTTCATTTAATTAAAATCTCTAGATTTTGAAAGTCATCCAAATGACCTCAATTTAATATATGTTATACAATATGTCATAACTTGATTTAAGAATACATTACAAGTACATTTCATGTAAGTTACGACCTTGAGTATTAAACTTTAATACAAGAAAAATAATAAATGAAAGGTTTCAAAACTTAATCAAATATTCTAGATTTAATATATGTGAAACTATTGGACATGCACATCACGAATATCAAGTCGGAATTTCAATGGAGTGAATAGTACACTCAGAACAATTTAATTAATCTAATTAATTAAATATTACTAGATTTCAAAACTTCTCCGATTACTCTCAAATTAATCTATGTTGGAGAGCATGCTAAGGCCTAATATAATATGCTATCACATGTTGATTTA